TCATTCATCTCCTCACTCCCCAAAACTGTCCAACATTAACAAGGCACAAGTCAGGAATGTGATGGAAAACTCCCCACTTGCCTGGATGGTTTCAGGTCCAACGACACTCAAGAAGCTTGAGACCATCCAGGTCAAAGCAACCCCTTGGATTTGGGATCATGTCCAGAATAATCCACCACCGATGCTCAGACGCAGCAGTGCGTACCATCTACAAGACGCACTGCAGAAATTCACCTGAGATGCTCACACAGCTCTTTGCAAACCGACGACCGCTGGAAGCACAAGCGCAGCAGGTAGATGGGAACAAAACCCCAATGCAAGTTCCCCTCCAAGCCCCGCACCATCCTGCCTTGGGAAATATATCGCCAAACCTTTCCTGTCACTCGTTCAAAATCCTGCAATTAATTCCTTAATGATCAACAATAGCAAAAAGAGAGAGAGAGAGAGAGACATCCTTGCCGTGTGCGTGGTCAGTCAGAATACAATAACCTTTTCCTGACTGGCTTGTAATGTCTTGCTATCTTATTTCCATCCATAGTTGATCACTATGCAACTCAGGGTAAGCGTAGAGAATCACCAACGCCAGGATTTAGTGGCTGTTCCCATGCGCCAACCTTTGCAAATCAGAATTATCCAGCCTTTCCCTGACCACTCAGCTCTGTACGTTCAGAGACCTGGTCTTAGGTTGCGGGGACATTGAGAGTTCAATTGTATATTCGTGCCACATTCTCAATAACTTGTCTTTGTGCTCCCTATCCACAGCTACCTATGGACCCGTAGGTGAGTATGTACACCCCCGTTCTTAACTCCTCAGATACTTGAGACAGCCCGTGTCCAAATTTAACAGGACAACGTCTAAGCTTGGGCTGCCAAGCGTAATGTTACACAAATGCCAGGCTATGACCATCACCAATAAGAGACAATCTTACCACTGACCCCACTTATTTGGCACTATATCTACAAACATCCCACTCCCTCCACCAACGACGCTCAGTGACAGCAGCGTGTACCGTCTACAAGATACGCTGCAGAAATTCACCGAAGATCCTCAGGCAGCTCCTTCCAAACCCATAACCACTTCCAACGAGAAGGACAAGGGCAGAAGATCCATAGCAACACCAGCCCCCTGCAATTTCCCCTCTGAGCCACTCACCGCGCTGACTTGGAAATACATCGCCGTGGGCCGCTGCGTCAAAATCCTGGAATTCCCTCCCTGTGGGTCAGATGGTTCCAGAAGGCAGCTCACCCCCACCTTCTCAAGGTCGGCAGTTAGGGACGGGGCAATTAGGGACGGGGCTGGACCAGCCAGCAGCACCCATATCCCAAAATTGAAGAGATAAACGCTACAGTCCAAATGCTCCTGGTCAAATCATTCGCATCCACAAGCGTTCTGCCCACTTGGGAAATAGGCAAACATCAACTAGCAGCCTGGGTGACTTTGTTCTTCAGAGTTGTCCTAAAGTTCCCAAATCGATTGGTTACTGCGCGTCAGAGAAAGAGAGAAAGAGTGCGCAGGAAGAGATGTCCTCAGAGTGTGGTGGTCAGCCAGAGTTCAATAGCCTTTTCCTGCCTTGTGCGGAGCTAGAGGTAGGCATTGAGAATTATCGACGCTCACGTCTAGCAGCTATTCCCATGTGTCATTCTTTGCAAATCGGAATTAGCCATCCTCTCCCTGACCAGTCAGGACGATAGGTTCAGAGAACTGGCCTTAGGGTGCGGGGACAGTGAGAGCTCAATTGTATATTCGTGACACATTCTCAATAACCTGCCATTCTGTTCTCTGTCCACAGATACCTACGGACCTGTAGGTGAGAACTTACAGTACATACAGCCCCATTCGCGACTCCTCAGATACTGAAACAGTATCACGTGCAACAAGATCTGGACAATATCCAGGCCTGGACTGAAAAATGGCAATTATTATTTGAGCCACACAAATGCCGGGCTATGACCATGACCAATAAGAGAGAATCTAACCGCTGACCCCTTGACATTCAATGCTGTCACCGTTACTGAATCCCACGCTATCGACGTCCTGGGGTTTACCATTGACCAAACACCTAAGTGGACTCACTACACAAACACAGTGACTACAAGCGCAAGTCAGAAGCTAGGAATACCTCACCTCCTGACTCCCCAAAGCCATCGACAAGGCACAAGTCGAGAGTGTGATGGACCTCTCCCCCACTTGCCCCTGGATGGGGGCGGCTCTGACAACACCCTGGGAGCTCGACACCATCCAGGGGCAAAGCAGCCCCCTCCTGATTGACCCCACATCCACAAACATCCCCACTCCCTCCCCCACCGACGCTCAGTCGCAGCAGCGTGTACCATCTCCAAGACGCGCTGCAGAGATTCACCGAAGACCCTCGGGCAGCACCTTCCAAAACCGCGACCGCTTCCATCAGATACTCGGCCACATCCGCCTCCAAAACCACCCAAGCCCCCCCCACACCCCACCACCTGCAGCTCCTCCAACAAGCCACTCACCATCCTGACTTGGGAATATTTGCTGTCAAAATCCTGGAATTCCCTCCCCTTAGGGACATTGCGGGTCTGCAGCGGCTCAAGAAGTCAGCTCACCCCCACCTCCTCGAGGTGGTGAGGAAATTAGGGACGGGGGCCAAGCGACGCCCCGATCCATCGAATGGGTTAACTTCGAAGGAGTCCCAGTGCTCCTGGTCAAACCGTCTGCACCCACAAGCGGTCTGCTTGGGAGCCAGTCACACGTGTCTGAGTAGGCTGGAAGTCCTGGATCTGGTCTGAGCTTCCCCGATCCATCAGTTACATTTGGTCAGAGAAAGCAGTAAGGTGGTAGCCATGCTACGTGGGGTCAGATGGAGCTCAATAGCCTTTTTCCTGGTTCATTTTTAATGCCTTCCTGGGTGTTCTCCGTCCACAGTCGTTCCCTGTGACCCAACGGTCAGCATTAACAGTCATCAGAAGTCACATTTGCACCTTACCTTGGGAAGGGGGGTGGTGGCGGATCTCTATTGATCTACCATTCAAATCATTAAACAAATCCCTCTTAGAAATCTACGCGCGGATGCACAAAGACAGAAAAGACATTGGTGCAGTGAATGGCAGGGAAGACCGGAAGGCCGGTCAGCGCCGAGAAGAGATCCTCCTGTCTGCGGACTGCCTGCACCTCCCTCTCTCGGTTCCCTTGACTTTCTGTGGCTTTCAAAAGGCCCGTCTCATAGTTTTACAGACACCCAATCGCGTCTCCCATCTCAGCCTCCGTCACTCCAGAGAAAACAACCCGAGTTTTTTTTTATATATATATCTCGAGCCTCTCCTTGAGCCTCGCAACCTCCAATCCAGGCGGCGGCCCGGAAAGCCTCTTCCTCCCCCTCCCCGCAACTCTTCCCTCCATCTTTGTTGCGGAGAGTTGCCTTGCGGATGCCCTCCGCCTGCTCTGGGAAGCTCGGCGTTGAGGCTAGTTCATTGGCAAAAGGGCACCGTTTTTGCTGTTCCTCTGTACCCAGCGGCTGTACCCGATGTGTTGGGAAGTCCGTTGGGAGGGAGCGTCGAAAAGGCAGTAATCTGGCCGTAAAAACGCGCGCGCCTTCCTTTGCTGGAAGTCCGCCCGCTCCCGGTCAACTGGTCTGCATCCACAAGCTGGTTAACTCAGGGAACGGTCCCACAATCCCTAGCAGGCAGGAAGGGCACGGCTCTTCTCCAAATCAATCAATTTCTTCCTGTATCGCTGAGGGGTTTAGAGCGGGGACGGGGTGTGGGGGGGTGCCTGGGGTGTTCAGTGAGACTGTAGTAGCCTCTTCCTAACTTAGTTCTGACTTCTTCTTTTGTGTTCTCCACCCACAGTTGACCCGTACGGATTCAAAGGTAGGTCGCTTCCTTTCGAGCTGGCTCGAGCGCCCCTGGGGGTTGTGGGGGGGAACCGTTCGAACCCACGAGCTGTTTGGCTGACTGGTGGAATATTCCTGGGCCCAGCGGGATGTCTTAGGGAATCGGCGTCAGGTCTTGAAATGCCAAAAACAAACAAACAAAAAACACGTAAAAACACGCAGATAAATCGGCGCAGATCGTTGAAAAAAAGAAATGAAACATTGGTGTCACGAGTGGAGGGGAAGAAACGCTGTAGTCAAATCATTTCTCGCTCCCTGCAGGCTTCACTGGGGCCAGACTTTCTGCGTTCCAGGAGATAGAGAGAGAGAGAGAGGGGCAAGAGATTGCTTTTCCGTTCCTTTATTTTGTTTGCGTGGGGTCAGCGGGAGTTCTATTCCCAAGCAAAACTCTCCCTGCCCCCTTCCTTTCTCTACGGACTCTCAGATAAGTCTCGTCGATGATCCGAGACAACATCTCAACACTGTTCCTGCCTATACCGGCACCTGACGGTTTAAAACATGTCGGGCTTTTGGCACGAGGGGACGTGGATAGGACGAATAGCCTTTTCCCCCAGGGTAGGGGGTTCACGTCCACAGCTCCCCGAAAGCGGCCACCCAGAGATAGAGTTGTTAAGGAGGCGTATGGTGCGTTAGCTTTCGTTAATAGAGGGATCGAGTTCAGGAGCCGTGAAGTTATGCTCCAGCGACACAAAAGCCTGGTTCGGCCACATCTGGAGTATCGTGTCCGGTTCTGGTCGCCTCATTACAGGAAAGATGTGGAAGCGTTAGAAAAGGTGCAGAGGAGATTTACCAGGACGTTGCCTGGAATGGAGGGAAGGTCTTACGAGGAAAGGTTGAGAGAGCTCGGGCTTTTCTCTTTAGAACGACGAAGGATGAGCGGTGACCTGATAGAGGTGTACAAAATGATCAGAGATGTAGATAGAGTGGACAGCCAGAGACTTTTTCCTAGGGTGGAGGTAGCTATTACGAGGGGGCATAGTTTTAAAGTGAGTGGAGGTAGATACAGGGGAGACGTCAGAGGTAGGTTCTTTGCTCAGAGAGTGGTCGGGGCGTGGAATGCGTTGCCAGAGAGGGTAGTGGAGTCGGCCTCATTAGGGACATTTAAGTGGTTATTAGATAGGCATATGGATGACAGTATAAGGTAGGGGTTGAGGTTAGGTAGACCTTAGGTTTAGGGTAAAAGTTCGGCACAACATCGTGGGCCGAAGGGCCTGTACTGTGCTGTGCAGTTCTGTGTTCTATGTATCGGGGAGGGGGGGGGGACTCCAAAGCTAGAGGGGCGTAGGTTTAAAGTGAGAAGGGGTGGGGAAGAAAGATTTAACAGGGGGGGAGGTTTTTCACGCAGAGGGTGGTGCGAGCTGCCAGAGGAGGTGGGTGGGGGCTGGTACGATAGCAGCATTTAAAAGGCATCCGGATGGGTGCATGGATAGGAAGGGGTTTAGAGGGATATGGGGAAGGACGCTGGAAAATGGGGCTGGATTCATTCAGGATATCTGGGTCGGCACGGACAGGATGGGCCGAAGGGTCTGTTTCCGTGCTGCGCGACTCTACTGGTATTAATCCAGAAGGGGACGTGGCGTTCAAACACCGTGAGGGCAGACGGTGACTTTCAATCTCCTTGAAGAAATACTAATCTGCCATCTGCCCCCGGGATGGGGCAATTAGGAGAAGGGCAGTAAATATTGACGCCCCCTAATCCAGTGACCTGAAAATTTGGCCGCCGCACCCGCTCCGCGGGACTCAACCCTTCCTGGTTTGCGAGGCCCTCCTGTACTGCGTCTCTCGCTTCTTTGCAAAAGGCGCAGGGTGACTGACGCACAAATTGCAAAGTCTCTGCCCAGCCAACGCGAGGTTTCGATGCACTGCTTGCAGGGTCGGGGGAGTGTGTGTGGGTGCAGGAATGCATGGCCTTCCTCCGGATGGTTAACACGCAGAGAGAGAAAAAAAAAAAGGGTCCTTCCCATTCCACGGGCTCCTGGATAAATCGTTCGCGCCCACAAGCTGTCCGTCTGTCTGGGAACCGGGCCCACAGCTGTTAGCAGGGAGGAAAGGGGATGTCCTCCAGGCGAGGTGTGCATTTCCTGAATCGATTGGTTGCACTCCGTCACAGTGTTGTGGAGTCACACAGCGCAGGAACAGACCCTTCGGCCCAACTCGTCCGTGCTGACCCAGATATCCGAAGTTAAACCAGCCCCATTTGCCAGCATTTGGCCCGTATCCCTCTGAACCCATGCCCCCATCCAGATGCCTTTTAAATGCTGTAACTGTACCAGCCTCCACCCACTTCCTCTGGCAGCTCGTTCCATCCACGCACCACCCTCTGCGTGAAAAGGTTGCCCCTTTTAATTCTTTCCCCCCTCCCCTCGGCTTCGACCATCTCGTTTTGGACTCCCCACTACCCTGGGGGGGGGGGGGTGGGGGAGGTGGGGGGAAAAAGACCTTGACTATTCACCCTATCCATAGCCCCTCATGATTTTACAAATCTCTATAACGTCAATCCTCCGACGTTCCGGGGAAAATAGCCCCAGCCTCTCCCTGGAGCTCCAAACACCGATCCCAACCACACACGCCCTCCAACTCCCCCCCAACATCCGTGTAAATCTTTTCTGAACCCTTTCAAGATTCACGACATCCTTCCCGTAGCAGGGAGACCAGAATTGAACGCAGTGTCCCGAACGTGGCCCTCACCAACACAGCCGCAACACGACCTTCCCAACTCCGATACTCAACGCATTGACCCATAAAGGCAAGCGTACCAAACCCCTTCGTCACTGCCCTATCGACCTGCGACTCCACGAGCTATGAACCTGCGCCCCAAGGTCTCTCTGTTCAACAATACTTTCTGGGACTTGAGCGTTAACTTTATAAGAAACATAGAACGCAGAAACATAGAACAGCACAGCACAGTACAGGCCCTTCGGCCCGCGACGTTGTGCCGACCTATTATTCTACCCTAAGATCAAACTACCCCGCACACCCTTACAATTTACTATCCTCTGTGCGCCTATCCAAGAGGCGATTAGGTGTCTCTAAAGTATCTGCCTCCACTACCACTTCTGGCAGCGCATTCCTCACACGCACACTCTCTGTATGTGAAGAATCTACCCCCCTTCTACCTTCCTCCGATCTCCTTAAAATTATGCCCCTCCTCATAATAGCCATTTCCACCACGGGGAGAAAAAAAAACGTCTCTGGGCCATCCACTCTGTCTGTGCCCTCTCGTCATCCTACCAAGTCACCTCTCATCCTTTCTTCGCTCCAACGAGAAAAGCCCGACCTCCCCTCAGCCATCTCCTCATCAGACCTACCCCTCCAGTCGAGGCAGCAAATCTCCCTCTGCCCCTCCTCCTCTCTAAAAGCTTCCCACCGTCCTTCCTATAATGAGGGGACCGGAACTGAACACGGCATAAGTCCTGCACACCACCCCCCCCACCAACATTTTCCCAAAAACGCAGCACCTTCAGGCCGACTGCGAGCGAGAGATGAGACAGAGGGGAAGATCTGAGCACTGGACTGAACTTTCCTCTTCACAGGGGTGTTGGTGGGGGTGAGGGGAGGGTTAGTAGGGCTGGGGTTCGGAGCGACGAAATTGCAGACAGATGTGCGTTGGCAAGTTCGCATCTCGAGCTACAAGTCTACTCCGAAACGTTAGAGTGTGTAGGCTCTAAGGAGAGGCTAGAGAAACCCAAAACAATTTTCTCGGGAGCCTGATACGCAAAGGGGTAATGGACCAAGGGCAGGCAGAAGGGGACTTGACTCAACGTCGAAGGGCCTGTCGCTGCGCCGTGCGGCCCTGCGTCCTGTTTGTCGCGTGGGTGTCCCGTCTCTCTCTGTGACTCGTTCCTGATCGCTTTTCTCTCTACGTTTCACCCACAGATGACTATGGGCCAGTAGGTAAGGATTCACGGTGATCAGAGGAAATCTATCACCGATCGCAACACATAGAATATTGCTCGCTCTCGGGAAAACAAGTTGGAGTTGCTTAGCAGATAACGTGCTGATAAATATCTACAGATGAGCACACAGACACACACACACACACACACACACACACACACACACACACAAAAAATTGGTGTATGGGGCGGAGGGAAAGATCTGAAGTCTGGTCGAGTTTCCCTCTGCACTGGGACAATATTTTCATCCCTGTCGGACGTTCTGCTCTTCAGTCTTATCCCAGGAGCTCGGACGTGTTTGCCAAAGCCAGATACACTGAGAAGCGTTGAGCACTTTCTTCCTCTGGAGGTCCACTTCGCTCCTGGGTCAAATTGTTCTCACCCACAAGCTGCCTGCGAGCCACTCACATCGCCCTGGGTGGGCTGGAGGTGGAAGGGGTGTATTTCCTTCGGCTGCTTCGTCTGCCTTTCCCAGATCAGTCAGTCGCTGAGCGAGTTTGTGCGTGACACCGAAAATTGGGGGCGCAGTGGACAGTGAAGGAATATGATGGGACGTCGAGTGGAAGGGGGGGTGAGTTTAATTCAGATGAAGGTGAGGTGCTGCATTTTGATAAGGCAAATCGGGGGCAGGACTTAGACACTTAGTCCCGGGGAGTGTCGCTGAGCAAAGAGACCTTGGAGGGGGAGCAGGTACGTAGTTCCTTGGAGTTGCAGGTAGACAGGGCGGTGAAGAAGGTGTTTGGTCCGCTCGCCTTTACGGGTCGGTGCGTTGAGTGTCGGAGTCGGGAGGGTCACGTTGCGGCTGTACGGGCGAGGCCACTTTTGGGGAATACTGCGTCCAATTCTGGTCTCCCTCCTACAGGAAGGACGTCGTGAAACTTGAAAGCGTTCGGGGATGACTGTCAAGGGTGTTAGAGGGGTTTGAGCTACAGGGAGAAACGGGGGACTAATTTTCACCCTGAAGCGTTGGGGGCCGAGGGGGTGGGAGGTGGGGGGGGGGGGGGTGGGTGGTTAGGGTTTGTAAAATCGTGGGGGGCCGCGGATAGGGCGAA